CACATAAATAAAGGATGCCTGTCTGGAATTGATGTAGGTTGTGGGACAAATCGGAACGAACGTTTGCATAAGCATCTCAACAAAGTAATAACTTCAAATAGAATAGGACTTCCCCTCGTTTACGCCAAAATGTTTAAATTATTTTACAAGCTAGCTGAAAGGAATGAAAAAACAAAAACTCTACATGAAATTGAAATTGAAAATTATAAAAATAAGTATGTTGCCGAAAGTACCGAAACCATTATTAATTCGCCTGAACCGGAGCAATTCGGAATCGATGAGCTGGAACTAAGAGGATTTCAGGAAGGAGAATATGAAAAACAACGTCAGACTAAACCATTATCATCCTTTACTGACGAAAGCGTTGCAAAAATACTGGAAAAAATTGTTACCATGCTGAATGCTATGCAACACGAAAGCGAGGAGGATCATACATACATGAAAAATAAATCACCAAACAGTGCAAAACACAAACCTTTTATACAACGGAGTTATATTATGGCGCTCAGCGGAAAGGCTGAAAAAAAAAATCGGAACTCAGTTCAATTATAGAATGTTCCCCTTTATCGCACAGTCCGACCCAGTTTCTGTGATGCCAATAGAAAGTAATAACTGCAATGAAGTGTCAAGAACAACATTAGATGCAGTCGCTAGATCTTTTGCAATGCAAATAGAAACAGTCTCAGGGGACGGAAACTGTTTTTTTTTGCTGTAGCATCACAGAGCAAATTTCTTTCGTACTCAGCATATACCAGAATCTATAAACAACCATTTTAGAAATCTTGGAATTACTACTCCATTTGACATTCCTGAAACGTCAATAAGATTACGCCAATTATTAGTCAATGAATGGTTAGGACCAGACATGGATTATTATCTTAACTTTTTTGGAAACGTCCAGTTTGATTTTCGTTATGAAGCTACTCGTTTTTTAAATGCTGGTGTATTTGCTTCGCCTATAGGCGACGCAATGCCTCTAGCCATGGCGAATGTACTGCAATTGCCACTAATGATTTTATCACAACAGTACTTAACCCCATTCATTGAGATCTGTCCGAGGGAGATCATATCATCCGAATTCAGCATATTTTTAGCGTACAGACATCAAGGACCCGGACATTACGACATATTAGTGGATGTGGACAAAAACGGCAATACTGTAAATCGCAATATTAAAAGTAAAATCGATGATAAATCCCCGACAACACCTATAAATACAAAGGAAACTAAAGTTAGTACGAAAACCTGTCGCTGTGGGAGGTACTCGAACACCCACGGAATAGATAAACATAAGTATAAGAGTCGTTGCGTTTGCATACGCGAGTACAAAACGTGTTTAGATGGATGTCGATGTAAGGGAATGTGCGGTGGAATAGCTTGCAAAGAAAGTGTCATAAAAGATCCAAAGCGGCGAAACGCAAAAAGTAGAGGAACACAATTTCTTCAGTCTAGCCCAATGAAAAGTTCGAGAAATTTTGTAAGGAGTCGGATAGGTACATCGAATGAAGCGGAGGAGCCTTTAAACAATGTCGAATATTTCATTGTATGTGCAATAGTCAAGGCTACTGAAAGCAAGGAAAATACCGTAGATCCGGATTATGTTTATAAAGTATATAATGAGATCGTTCGGATTATTTCTGAGAATCATTTCTTGAGTCTACTCCCGGTCTTTAAAAAATCGCTAGACGTTATCAAGAAACAAATAGAAAAAATAAAAAAATTGAAGAACACTTCTATGCTAATATTTAGAAAAAGCTGTTAAATAAAAACTTAGCCTATAGTCCATCTAATAGTAAAGTGCTAATTGTCATTGTTATCATTTGCTTCAAACAAGATAATATAAAGAATTTTTGCACATAATTGTGATTTAGAGTGCTTGATTATATGGTTATGTGTTTATTCAATACGGTAGAGGGGGGGTGTCTAACTCATACATTCGAACAAGTAGGCGTTCAACAGTCCAGAAAAATGGAAACGACAAGTGAGTTATCAGGAGTGATCGTGTTCTCCAAGAAGATATGTCTGTCCCTCCGGATCGCTAGTTTCTGGAAAGCTGGACGATCTCTAAACGCGAGAAGCAGCGTCTTACCGGCACGGTAATACATGTAATGTAAATTATTTTGGGTGTTTCATACAAAAATATCACGTATAGCTATATAGCTTAACACATGTAACATTCTATAGCGCAAAAATGATAGACTTTGAAATTCAAATTACTCATAATAAAGTGATCCACATCACCACATAATCACATTCATTATCAAACAACAACATAACCACATAACCATATAACCATATAACCACATAACCACATAACCACATAACCACATAACCACATAACCACATAACCACATAACCACATAACCACATAACCACATAACCACATAACCACATAACCACATAACCACTAACCACATAACCATATAACCATATAACCATATAACCACTAACCACATAACCATATAACCACATAACCATATAACCATATAACCATATAACCATATAACCACTAACCACATAACCATATAACCATATAACCAATAACCATATAACCATATAACCACTAACCACATAACCATATAACCATATAACCATATAACCATATAACCATATAACCATATAAACCATATAACCATATAACCATATAACCACATAACCATATAACCACTAACCACATAACCATATAACCATAAAACCACTAACCACATAACCATATAACCACATAACCACATAACCATATAACCATATAACCACTAACCACATAACCATATAACCATATAACTATATAACCATATAACCACTAACCACATAACCACATAACCACATAACCACATAACCACATAACCACATAACCACATAACAACATAACCACATAACCACATAACCACATAACCATATAACCATATAACCACTAACCACATAACCATATAACCATATAACCATATAACCATATAACCACTAACCACATAACTATATAACCATATAACCATATAACCACTAACCACATAACCATGTAACCATATAACCATATAACCACATAACCATATAACCACTAACCACATAACCATATAACCACATAACCATATAACCACATAACCATATTACCACATAACCATATAACCACTAACCACATAACCATATAACCACATAACCATATAACCATATAACCATATAACCACTAACCACATAACCATATAACCATATTACCACTAACCACATAACCATGTAACCATATAACAACATAACCATATAACCACATAACCATATTACCACATAACCATATAACCACTAACCACATAACCATATAACCACATAACCATATAACCATATAACCATATAACCATATTACCACTAACCACATAACCATGTAACCATATAACCACATAACCATATAACCACATAACCATATTACCACATAACCATATAACCACTAACCACATAACCATATAACCATATAACCACTAACCACATAACCATATAACCAAATAACCACATAACCATCTAACCATCTAACCACATAACCACATAACCACATAACCATATAACCATATAACCATATAACCACATAACCATATAACCATATAACCATATAACCACTAACCACATAACCATGTAACCATATTACCACTAACCACATAACCACATAACCATGTAACCATATAACCATATAACCATATAACCATATAACCATATAACCATATAACCATATAATATATATGTATATATATTGTGTTTACAATAAAATTCATATAATTTATGCTAATATATGTAATGTATATAACCACATAACCACATAACCATATAACCACATAACCATATTACCACATAACCATATAACCACTAACCACATAACCATATAACCACATAACCATATAACCATATAACCATATAACCATATAACCACTAACCACATAACCATATAACCATATTACCACTAACCACATAACCATGTAACCATATAACCACATAACCATATAACCACATAACCATATTACCACATAACCATATAACCACTAACCACATAACCATATAACCACATAACCATATAACCATATAACCATATTACCACTAACCACATAACCATGTAACCATATAACCACATAACCATATAACCACATAACCATATTACCACATAACCATATAACCACTAACCACATACCATATAACCATATAACCACTAACCACATAACCATATAACCAAATAACCACATAACCATCTAACCATCTAACCACATAACCACATAACCACATAACCATATAACCATATAACCATATAACCACATAACCATATAACCATATAACCATATAACCACTAACCACATAACCATGTAACCATATTACCACTAACCACATAACCACATAACCATGTAACCATATAACCACATAACCATATAACCACATAACCATATTACCACATAACCATATAACCACTAACCACATAACCATATAACCACATAACCATATAACCATATAACCATATTACCACTAACCACATAACCATGTAACCATATAACCACATAACCATATAACCACATAACCATATTACCACATAACCATATAACCACTAACCACATAACCATATAACCATATAACCACTAACCACATAACCATATAACCAAATAACCACATAACCATCTAACCATCTAACCACATAACCACATAACCACATAACCATATAACCATATAACCATATAACCACATAACCATATAACCATATAACCATATAACCACTAACCACATAACCATGTAACCATATTACCACTAACCACATAACCACAACCATGTAACCATATAACCATATAACCATATAACCATATAATATATATGTATATATATTGTGTATACAATAAAATTCATATAATTTATGCTAATATATGTAATGTATATTTCGAACCCTCGTAACATGAAAATATAACCGGATACATGTACGCTGGCGGATCTATTTTTAATGATCAGGGTCCAGTCTCTCCTTCGCGGTTCTATCGTGTTTCCATGGCAACTCCTCTCGAGCTGCTGCTAAATGTTTTCAAAATATTTGGTTTATATTGGTAGAAATTCATCTTTTTTATCGTATTTAGATATTTTGTGAACTTTAAGTTTGATTAAAGATAATTTACATGAAATTCTTTACATCGTCTACTATCACACAGCTGTTCGCTTTACTGTTAAGTACAGTACATCGATGAAAACATGGTAAGTCAATGTACTATGCGAGTTCTTTATGACTTTCTAGTTTCTAATGTTTTAAATGCTTTCCATATCTTTTAAGCCTGGTTTGTGTGAACATATATGCCGAACATTGAGTAGGGCTACTAAGATTATTTTTTTAACCGTATTAGAAATTAAACTAGGACCTATCACCCGGCCTGTGCCCTGACTTCCCTCTGTATGCTTGCCTTGTCTGCAGGAAGTTAGGAACTACAGTTGCTATAGTTGGCAAGAAAGGGAAGGAGTTGGTTTTTTCCACCAATCTTTGCCAATACTATTGTTGCAAATATCTAAGTCATTATAAATGTTGCTGAAGAGAGGCGGCACAAAGGTTCAATCTTCATGTGCTACAGTATTTGTGACTTGTGAGAATAGACTTAATGCATAATGATGTAAACAAGCTGTGACATCTGCAGAGATATCTGGTCTTAGTAACGGCAATTAGGAAATTCAAAATTCCTACTGTGACTATACTATAAGACCAGAAAATTTTCCTTGGGGGTGTGCAGCTTGTCACATCATTATGCATAATTGTGTTGTGTTATTTATGTCATCAATTAAGAGATTCTGTTTAAGATCAAGCTTTGATCCTGCATGCCTAGGATCCTAAAAAGATCTTTAGGAACTTATAAGATCTTGCCTAGAAGAAAGATTCTTATAAGTCTAAAAGAATATTTAGGAATTTATAAGATCCTGTCTAGGATCCTAGCTAATTAAGAAACTTGTAGGATCCTATAGGAATCTTTAAAATCCTACTTAAGATCCCATGTAAGGTTCTTTTTCGATCTTATAGGATCCTATAGGATCTTAATGTAAGATCCTATAAGATCTTATAGGATCCTATATATATAGGATTGTATTGTAAGATCTTATGCAAGATCTTATGTAAGATCCTAACTAGGATCTCTAGCAGGGTAAGGTCTATTCGAGAGGAATTGTGTTATACTGTCTTAAGTGATACTAGAGTTTCTTTTGTTGCTATCAAAAGATCATCTTCAGAGCCATCAGAGGAATATGATATGCCCTGTTTGTATATGCAGGCAGTGGGGATTAAGGGTCTTGTCCACTCATCGTAAAATCAACTCGCTGCGAGTGTTTGCATCTAATTAAAATACTATCAAGCTTTGTGATTGGACAAAATTACCTGCCTTTGATACATAGTTCTAATGGAGCATTATCATGCACAAATATGTGCTTTAGATGTGACAAAATCTGCTGGGATCATTTAGAATTACCTAATTAATGGTAGTCAGCTTTAATTATAAATGTGAATCTTCAAATCCCTCCAAATGTATAGTCTTGGGCACAATGTCTTTGATTAAATGTCAGTATTCCTAAATTGGAGGCTTTATTTAATGTTTATTAACTCAAAATCTGTTGCTTTATTGCTTTTCAAGCATTTCTACATCACTGTTGAAAAAATCACTATATCTTTGCAGGCAGCTAGTGGATAGCGCTATATCCAGCCTTCGTACTGTCAGCCTCTACAATCTGTTTGTGTTGTTGACATTGAGATTTTTACTGTCACTGGTGATATAGATTGTATTAGTTATTTTTGCAAGAGTTGAACATTCATTTCTTCCAAATTTTCATTTATGCAGCCCCCAAAGAAAGGTGGTAAGGCAAAATCTCCAAAGTTAAGTAAAGCTGAAAAAGAGAAACTAAAGAAAGAAGAGGCAGAACGAAAAGCTAAAGAAGAAGGTAAATAAATACTAATGGTATTTAAATACTAATGGTATTTATTATTATTAATAACTTATAGTACGTCACCGTATATATATGTACTAGCTGCATTATAATTAAGAAATGTTCACTATCACTATATGAATAAATTAACCCGATGACTGGGATATAGCATTATAGATAGTTGATATGTACATTTTTCTTAACTGCTCCAGTCTTGAATGTTAGTTCATATGTGTATGATTTCCACAAGAGATTAAGCTTTAAACCCTTTAGAGATATACAGTAGCGTAGCCAGCCTGACGATTTGTCCCACTATGCTAATATTCTGGTGATCAATGATTGTGAAACAATAAATTTCTAATGAAATAAATAATAATGTAAATCAAAATTAACATAGTTTAAATTTCAAAGGTGTCAGCTTTTTTTTACTCACCCTGTATGTAGTAATTTAACAATGTTAATGAGCTTAAAGCAGACATGCAAAACAGAAATCTTTTGGTTCATGCACAAATTGAAGAAGCTAAAAACAATATTATTAAAATCAATGAGAACATCCAATTGAGATTTCTAATCAGTGCTGTGGAAGTGTGTGGGGAGAGGGGGCTTTGGGCAATGACCTATTTTCTGACAAATCGACGAAAACACTGAACGGTCTTCGAGAGTTAGTATATATAGACAAGAGCACACTTAAAACTCTTTGTTACAACGGGTAAAAGCCTCATTAAAAATAGAAAACAATGTGTTCACTCTTCAAGACTATGCACAAATTCCATTATAGGTGAACAACGTCAACAACAGTATCGCTAGACCGCTTAATTGGGGGGGGAGGTGTACATTATTCAATTTATATTCATGTCATAGGAACAATAGCGTACAAAAGAAATCAGTCGGACATGGGAATAAGCAACAACCCCTTCCCCAATTATGCTTGTAACTACGGCCCTGTGTTGACCTTCACAAACTGTGTCGTTGACAGTTGACAAAGTAATACTGACAAAAGCCCTGATTTGTTTCAATTAATCTGTCTATTTTAGGCAGCTGTCATACCACGTAATCATTTGATGCATGCATTTAAGATGCTTTAAGACGTTATACCATACTAATGCTTTATGTTTTAGAGGAAGCTCGACTTCAAGCAGAACAAGAACAGAGAGAAAGAGAAGAGAGAGAGCAACTTGAAAGAGAGGAAAAAGAAAGATTAGCTCAACAGGTTGGAATTAAAATGATTGTAGCTGTACTACATACACATTGGCGTCAATCGAATGTTAAATGAGGGGGCCATATTCATATATTCTGCTGTGCCTGGTGTTTTTTTTTTGTTTTTTTTTATTATTTTTCGTCATCGCAAGTGTCTTTTGGCGCGAGATATACTTGTATTTGAAAACTACAATGCTCATTTGTACCCAGGACTTCACTGGATGCGACGCTCATTGAAGAGCGTATGTGACCGTATTTATATACGTCAAAGTTTTGTCTCCCAAGTGTTGTGGTGCACTACTCGCTCGCATGTTACGGAAATTCCTCAAATAAACCGTTCTTTTGATGCTGTTCGATTAAGTTTAGATTTAATCGGTGTAAGAATATATTTAATACATGGAGATTCTGGTTCTATTTTAATACTATCGCTGAACTTCTATACTTTTTTAAAGTACGATGTGCTTCTGAATGTCGAACAACATTTAGCGGGTTCACAACACTTCTATACTTTAAAACACGGTGCATGTGTTGTCTGAATATCAAGCAACATTTAGGTTCGCAAGGCTTCTAAATCAATGAGTATAAACTGTAGTGTTTATGTTCAGAAGCTTTATATTGAAGACTGGGACGTGCAGCACGCTGGAGTTAACGCCAGAACAGGCGCATCTTGTTTCTTTTGAAAAGAATATAAGAACTCAAAATAGCAGGTAATAATTGAAATATAAAAACTGTGAACGCTATATTTTTACTATCCTTGCAGGAGAGAGAAGCGCACGAAGCTGAGGTGGATGAATTAAATGGATTGCTTGAAGATAAATACAGCCAAGTTAAGAACACCGATGAAAGGAACAGGGAAAATGCAAAGGTAAGTAGATGAACATAATCCAGCTTCTATAAAATACGCCGTACCAGTGAAACAGTACCAATTAGGCAAGTTAAAATTGGTTATCCTTAGATTCATTTATTGGCAAATTTTTAATTGACTAAAAATAACTTACTAAAAACGTGGTTGAAGCAACCAATTTTTTTATTGTATTTACCAGTGTTGATAAAAAAAGATGTATCTGAGACAACCAATTTTAAACTAGCTGTTTTAAAAATTCGCAATGCTTCGCATATATAAGAGAAAACATACTCCGAAAATAAATAGAGTCGAAATATCACCTTGAATATTGTGTCTTGTTTTTTAACAACTCATATCTTGAGTTTACAAGATGTTTATTTTCGGAGTGTATTTTCTCTTATATTCCGCAAAATTATCTGCTGGAAAAGGTTATATAAAGGTTACGCATATATAGACTGCAAGTTTCTCTGTGGCCACGTTACCACGCAGCCGGGTATAACCGGCAGATCTTCATCCACTTTTTAGTCGGGGTTTTGGATCAGTATATCTATATCTATTTGTTACCATGCACAGGCCCGAGAAACATACTCGGTTGGATAACCACAGAATAATTTCAAATGAAATCGTCTTCTAAATTAAACGTTAGCCAACTGTCAATATCACTAACCAAGAACTTATCGTTATATGATTTCAATTAAAAATGTATTGTTTGATTGCATGAGTACTATATGTATATCTAGTTCAAGTTTCAAGATATGTGTTCTCTGTATCTTAGTGGTCAAGATATATGTTATGTGATGGTAGTCCAGACCCAAAGATTACCAAAGAAATTAACACCTATATCAATCTTTGGCGCGAGGATACTGATAGCAGGCCAGTTCATAAGACCATTCAAGAGTGCCATGATGCTTTGAAGGTAAGCTGTAGTGTGACGTTTTCAATACCATACCATACTACACCATACCACACCATACCATACCATACCACACCATACCATACTATTTACACCATACCATACCATACCATACTACACCATACCATACCACACCATACCATACCATACTATTTATACCATACCATACTATCCTAGCCTCTCCTGCAATCTGATTGGCTGTAGCGGGCGGGCGGAATTTTACGATATCTGACGACGGTCCCGAATCCTATATTTTGTGCTCGAGCGAAAGCGTATTTGTTTTGTTTTTCTAAAGATTTATTCTCAAACTTGGCTTTTGATTTTTTTATTTTAAAATATATGCACCAAATGATTATCACGATAAATTGAAGTGAATTTTAGTAAATTAAACGAATGAGGTTTTGATTGTTTTTGTTTTTGTCGCCACTGCTGAGTCTGACTACACAATTATAATACGACCGAACGCCCCTTTTGTGTAAAAAAAGAAATTCGTTATTTACCGTTTTGGACGGTCCGGATAGAAAAATATTTCCCGTCGGTCTTAAAAACGTCCCTTCGCCTGCGGCCTCAGGTCGTTTTTAATACCTCAGGAAAATATTTTTCTATATTGATTTTGTGTCTTTTGTGCAGTTAATTGACGAGTTGCAATACTTTCTTGGCGATGAACCTGGTTTGTCTGAAGAAGATGTGGAAAAACACAACGAGGTTTGCAAGTGTACCATAATGCCTGGAGTGTTTTCGTTTTGTGCAAAAAGTATTGTTTAAGAAAGACTTAGTGAAGTATTTTTAGTTGATTTCACATACCAAAAATCATGACTCGAAATAGAATGTGTTGTGCTTGTTAGTTTTGAATTTGCCTTTAACACTGCATTAATTTTTGGCATTCATACTTCTATTCAGATGATTTAACAACCAGTCAGAATTACCAACGAGTGTTTACTTCTCTTTAGTCAATTAGTCACCTTCAAAGTCTAATTCGTGTGAAGTTGGACGAAGCGACCATGCACGTTCTCAAGGTATGCATACGTGTAGCTATTGAATTTGTGACAAAGCGTAGTGCAATCGTTGACCTGTACATATGCCGTGAAACTCTATCTCCGGTTGTGTTGAGTTGCGCCATTGATGTAATATTTACACTACAGCGTGTACCAAAAATAACTACAAAATTGCCCAATGCAATATTTTTTTGAACTTTGGTTACGAACTGCAGTTGGATTTTACGTCCGGGAGGTGTTGTTCTCTAAAAAAACGTGTTCCACGCAACAAAATGCAGGGTTTAAAACATACACATTAAAGTAACAGGATGCAAGTTTGGAAAATTTGATTTCGCGACGCAACTTCTAAAACGTGAACTTATTTATTTTCACAGCGTTTGCCATGCATATTTGATACTTTGCACGAATTTGCGTGAAATTATTATCATGTTAAATGACACTTGGCCGTGTTAAATGAAATCCTTCATTCGTTATTTAATTTATTTCCGTTATAAATCAACACGTATTCTCTCTATTTCCAGTGTCCCGATGAGTATATCGACCCTGACACGCAAAATATTCAATTCGAGTTGACGTCACGTTTTATTACGTTGAATATTTGGGGAAATATCTCCAGGAACCCACGGTTTGTATTCGCATGTTTACACAACTTCGGAGTAATGTGGTATAAAAACTGCCTACAATAGACAAAAAAACATTTTTCGACGTTTCGATCGAAAACGTCAAGAGAGTTAGTTTGAAAACAAATATTATAATCCCATAGAATTAAGAACGATTGTTTTATTACTTTTATATACAGCTATTTCAGTTAAAGTTGTACTCTTAAAACTCTAAACAATAAACTCTGAGCACACAAGGAGTATCAGGTTTGCATCACGAGGTATCTATATACTGTTGGTTAAGACTATGAGGCTTAATAATTATACTGTTGAACTAACTAAAGGCTTTAAGTATGTAGTAGCCCGACATTTTGAGAGGACGACCTTAATTGAAATAGCTGTATAATTAATTTATTTCATCTAAAGGTCTTTTTTCCTCTTCAATCACACAGCTGAGAAACGATTTCTTTGTTTCAAAGACATAGCACTTACCTGTTATTTCATATATCATTGTATAGACTGAAATCATTAACCTTTGAAAAGAAAGGCATCACGTTAGACATTCCAAAACCTCTGTCTGTGGGCAACGTTGCTGTTAGATGTATATTTACAAACTACGATCATTTTTCCGAGAAATCACGTCTGTTCTATCCAAGACCGAAGATTGTCCCCCCTGTCGTGGTTCAACCACAACAACCTCCTGTCGAGATCAACACAGAAATGGTATTTGTTTTCTCGTATTATTGTTGAATTTGTGATTACACCAACTACAGTACAACAAAATATATCTACACACCACACTACACTACACTACACTACACTACACTACACTACACTACACTACACCACGCCACGCCACGCCACACCACACCACATCACATCACACCACACCACACTACACTACACTACACTAAACTACACTGCACTGCACTGCACTGCACTGTACCGCACCACATAACACCACATCACATCACATAACACCACACCACACCACACCACACCAGACCACAACACCACATTACACCACACCAGACCACAACACCACATCACACCACACTACACTACACTATACTACACTACACTACACTACACTGCACTGCACTGCACTGTACCGCACCACATAACACCACATCACACCACACCAGACCACAACACCACATCACACCACACCAGACCACAACACCATATCACACCACACCAGACCACAACACCACATCACACCACACCAGACCACAACACCATATCACATCACACCACACCAGACCACAACACCACATCACACCACACCAGACCACAACACCACATCGCATCACACCACACCACACCAGACCACAACACCACATCGCATCACACCACACCAGACCACAACACCACATCGCATCACACCACACCAGACCACAACACCACATCGCATCACACCACACCACACCAGACCACAACACCACATCGCATCACACCACACCAGACCACAACACCACATCACACCATAATCCACAACACCATGCATGCACACAAACACGTCATGTTTTTTTTCATTTTGATTTACGCAGGTTGATAATGATTCGAAGGAAAATGAGATTGACGAAAATACTTTACCTGCACCGGAACCGAGCAGTGCTGCCCTAACACCCAAACCACCGTCTTCTTCACGCAGCCGTAAAAAGGTGATAGAAGTATTCTGTATATTTTGAAATGTTCATTCTGAGAACGTATACCTGTATCAGGATTGAATTTTTTTATTCTTTGTCACTCACATTTCAGAGCTCCACAACAAAAAGGGCAACCTCCCGTCTCTCGGCCTCTGTTTCAACATCCGGTCGAAAAAGTCGGAATAAAAGTGCCCGTAAAACACCTGTTCCTACTGCGAGCGTCACCGAAACGGATAAAACAGAAGAAACAACCGAACAAGACACAGGTAACATGATCGTTATTTCCTTCCCTCTGGAACTTCTGGTGTGCTGAGTTTGTGGTTGTGCAGTATTAGATTTTGGGGTTTTTTTGGATAACCTTACGTCCTTAACTGATTTAGCTTCAGGACCGTAGCTACAAACCCGCTTTATGCTGTATACTATATTCAATATTCATGTTTACATATCATAGGAACAATAGCGTACAAAAGAAATCAGTCAGTCATAAGACGAATGTATAAATATGCACGCCCGCCCCTAATTAAGTTTCTTGCTACGGCCCTATTTAGCTTAGGGCCTTCCCCCTGAAAAAGGTTGAGGAATGGTCCTTAAACCTCACTTATTCATTATACCCAGTGCGCTGCTGGGCTGATGCTTGATCAACTTGTTTTTGTATTCATACAACATAATTCAATCCCACCATTGCCCGCGATTTTCAATATTCTGCTATTATACATCTACTAGAAATACATTGCATGCAAAGTCCCCTCGCCTGAAGCAATAAACTTATATTTCCATCACTGAAATTCTATAATACTCGTTTCTGCTGAATGATCGAAGCCGTATAAGTAAAATCCTATATCTTGGTACAATTATATAGTCGACTCTCGAGCTATCACATTCAACTATAATCGTAATTCATTATAAATTGTGCTACGAATAGTTTTAAATACTACAATTTTTAGCGAAATTTCAATTGCTTTTTAAACAGATTGACCTTTAAAAATAAATGCTTTCCCAATCAAAATCATTTTAACGAAATTGACGAATAAATTCAAAGAGGTGTCGTACGTTTGTTGATAAATCTACAAGTTAAACTTTAATAATACGAAATACTTGCATGCTTTAAAATACAAAATCTACCTATTTACCTGTTCAAAAACACTCCAAAAATGCTTTAAAATCGTAGATTTTTCACCATCTATTTGAATCAAAGTTTTATTATCCGAGAGCATCATCTACTTTACATTTTAATCATTTTTACGAGTGAATTTTTCCGTATATTTTCAAAACCATCCAAATGAAAAAGATATTTTTAAAAGTTTTATAATTCAAAATATCAGTTATGCTGACGCGAACCAAAATTTTAATTTAGCCAATCGCACGCTTGGAAACGTTTGCTGGTTACCAGTTTTAACTCGTCTTAAACTCACGCATGCGCATAACTTACAAAAACGCCCAACGTCCATGACATAATGGCGGACAACTTTCATTTCGCATTTGCATTCCCGGGCGTAATCAAAATCTCCGGGCGGAATTAGTACCCTCGCCCGGTGCTTCGCACCGGCTCGGGGATTAGAAGCAAAATTCAACCGACGTGATTTCCAGTGATTTGCATGGATAACCTATTGTTGGTAATTTGTAGATGATCAAAAAACAGCCGAGGAAGATCCAGCCACTGATCCGGCGAAACCAGGCACAGCTGGTGATGTTGAATTCGATGAAGATGACGATGACGATGTTGTTGATTTGAGAGCATTTAGCACAGCCGACAAAGTCATTTATATTGAGCTCTTTGAATTACCTCCTCAACCAAAAACCGTTAAGAATTGGGTCATACAGCACAGTGAGTTATATGAAAATTTGCTGTCGATGTTCGTGGAAGTAATTTATTTTCGTTACGAATTATGACGCCAGTTACAAAGGCTCGATACAGTCTTGCTAATGGATGACTTGCGCTTTGGACTAATGTTTGATTGAAGTAATCAGAAGAAAGTAAAATTAGTGTAAATGCAAAGTTTAGTTGCAATAGTTTTCAAAATGCGAAAAAAAAGTCATGCGAAGTTGGCAATTTTTTTATCTTTTATTACGTGCGGAAATGATTAAGTACTTTCGGCGGTAATACAAAAGTATGCAAAATTTGCAAACTTCGCGTGGCTGTATTTTTAGTACTTAGCTAACAACATTTCGACGCCAAACCTAGCAGTTTTACTAATTTTGGTATGCTCTTTCAAGAGATATTCTTTTCATTGCCAAGATGAAACCAGTCTATAAGGTGCTTCAGAATTAATTGTTGAACGTAGCAAATTTTGTTTGTAATTTTTATTTAGTTGCTGCTCCTGAGCTGGTCCCAATTCCTTATGTTTTTGAGTCCAAGAAGAGCGAGGATGTGACGTCATCAGAAAATGATCTTCCCAACAATGAAGATTCAGAACAGACCGCTGATGATCAAACACAGGCTCAGAAGGCAAACGCGGGAAATGCGCCGATACATGTAACATTAAGGTGTGGATTTTTTATGAAAGTCATATAGTTGATTTAACTTGCAACATTCAGTTATTGAATGATTTGAAATAACTACCAAATCAGACCTCCTAGTCCTACACGCCTAAAAACGCTCAGGTTGATGCAAGTTGATATGAACAGGATGGAGCAATGTTGTGCTGCCGACATTGCTCAGAGTTGTTATCAACATTGAACAATATTGTTGAAATTGAATCGGGTGTAACAATATTGTTCAATATTGATAACAACTCTGAACAATGTGGGCAGCACAACATTGCTGCATCCTGTTTGTATCAACTTGCATCAACCTGAGCGTTTTTAGGCGTGTAACGGAACATTACATATTTGTTCAGATTACCAGCGGATGTATCATATTTCGAACAACCTCAAGTAGCAAGATGGGAGGCCAGTAAGAACCATTGGAGACTGGATGGTCTTAGTGACATTCAGTTTAATGACCGTAAGTTTAATTATATAAATCGTTGCTACGCTCCACTTGAACTAATGTCTGTCTGTTAACCCTTGCAAATATTACTTCAATCATAATCTTAGATTTAAAGTGCCCATGTCATAAAATTGGAATTTATCTCATTAGAATTGCCGTGAAACGTAGATTATGAAAATAGTAATCACATTTGAAATTGAGTTTGTTTTCGCGGAGAAATAAAGCGATAAAGTTTGAAAATTTCAAATTTTAACGGCAAAAGTTTTTGAAATCCGCGACTGTCGGAAACTGGTAACTAACACGTCACAATAGGAACTCGCATATTGCGCCTTTAGATAAATAATAGTATGTAGTACAAGAGAAGCGATTTTATGCCAGCTAAATTCGGTCATTAAACGTGGCAGAAATATGTCTTCATCAAGTTTAGCTATTGAGAAGTTACCAAAGGAATGACACCGATCAGAATGTTTTCCTGCCAATGCAATGCCAAGAAAAAACAAAAGTTAAGACCACGAACGCGGCTCAATGTCAGCCTTGTCAGGCAGTAAGAACACTTCGGACCATACATTAACGAACCAGATGCCGATGATAAGCTGAAAAGCTATCGCGAAATGGAGCAATCGTGCAACGATCATGGCATCGAAACTACAACGAAGACTTGATCGTAGGCGTCAGTAAATAGCAAATGTTTTCTTATTATCTTGATTGCGCGACTTGCTTTCCGTGACCCCAGAACATAATATCATTACGCTAGATATACAGTATTCAAATTACAAATAGATTCTATGGTAGTAATCTGGCAATTGTACTTAACTTAATTCTAAAGTTTCGTCCTAGTTGATCGTCATTCGTAATTGCGCACATACAGTTCACCCGGGTGTAGATAAAAGGCGGACGCGGACCCCCAATACATTTTACTGCCCTATATAAATATTTATAATAGCATTATGATGAGGTTTTCCTGTGGCTCATGAGTGCCGGTATTTCTACAATGTGTTTATGTGTAGTTAAGTCACGCATGCCTGTGTGATTCTCTGGTTTATTTTCATTACAAATCAACTGAGCTAGAGTATGAGTGCATGGAGTTCCCATGCGCTTTCAAAAAAAATAGTTCAATGAGAGACTTATCAATATTAACTGAGAAATCTAACACGTCTCGCGCAAAAGAAACATATCAAATCATGTGTATATATAACCCAGTACATTTCGCTTTTATTATGGCATCTTTTTTACCAACATTCTTTAGCTGTCTTTACTAAAATCTGCGCACTCGCATCTTTTGAGACGTTATTTACTTCGGTAAATCCTTTATCTGTTAACTTAAACACTGCCTAACGTGTTTACAACACAGTGAATCAATTGGTCATGACTCATGGCGTATTTGCAATTATTGCACGACTGTTGCTAGGAACGTACAATTATTAAAGCCATTTCACAACACATTTTGATAATATATGAGTCACTTTATACAGAATTGTCTGTTAAGTAAGAACAACCACTTTTTTGCGCAGTTAGCCTCTACTTATTACTCTATGCAATAGAGTTACTAAATTGTCGCGTCGAACGAGTTCCTATTGTGACGTCAAACACCTTGTTTCGCACCAGTCTCATTTGCGCGGTTTTCAGAGTTTTCATTCCACCAAAATCAATGTTTAGATGGCAATAACTCGAAAAATAAAAATCCAATTTCAGTTTTGATTTAGAACTTACTAACTCATTTCAAACAAAGATTCTAAAAATCTAAATTCCAATTTTATGACATGGGCACTTTAAGGAACATTCAGCACCTGTTGGATTTGTAGTTCGAATCAATAATAAACTTTTGATTTTTCTATTTTCTTCAAGAGACCAACATGTTGCGTTTCAAAACAAACCGTTTTGCACCTATCGCTATATTTCAGGTACAGTACTTTTGTTGCAATATTAGCAAATTTTCCGCCGACTACATTAAAACCCTAATCTTAACTTAGCACCTCTCATTTTAGCTTAGTAATTAAATTTAGTTCGATCCAATCAGGTCGAATTAAGAATCAGGGCCGTAGCTAGACCGCTTAATTGAAGGGGGGTGCATGTTCATATATTTATGTTTACATACCGTAGGTACAATGAATAGCTTTTCATAGAAATCAGTCGGGCATAGGACGAATATATGAATATGGACTCCCATCCTCAATTAATATTCCAGCTACCGCCCTGCACAGAGCTTATGGCTAGCCGTATGTGGTACCTTTAATATAGGATTTGTATTTGAACATGCCATTTCAATCTTGGGAAATCCGTCCACATGGTCTCAATAGTTGCATCTTCACTATCGTGGCTGCTGCTATTGATCTGGAAATTGAAGTCAAGGTAAAAAGAACTACTACTACTCGTTCACTAATTTGTCCCATCTTGAGCTTCGAATAAGCAATAGAAGCTGTGTTGTAGAACTAAATTTACCGAAGAGGGGCTCTCCTGGGGAGGGTGAAGCAGTGAAATCGTAAAAAAGTTGTGACGGCATAAAGTTAACCACTCATGACTGGGATGAATCAGAGATGATAGATCATAACTCATAATTAATGTTAGAAACTTTATTGTTATACATTTTTTAATAGGATCAAATTAATATTGCTGGAATAGTCTACTATAATATGCACACTGTAGTCAAATTTTGGTTAATAGTGTTTAAAGACTTCGTTTTTTCTCTCGTTCCATGCATTCATATTGCATTTTTGTGCACAGGATTCGTATTGTTGTGTGGCTCATGCCGAGGACTCCGTACAACGTTTACGACATTTGCGTGGTAAATGGATGAACCCCAAAGATCTCATAAAGGTATATCGTAAATAAATCTTTCAAACAAGAATACCAGTTTAATTAGAAAATGATCAATGGATACTTACACTTTGAGTGAGTTTTCCACCGATATGACATGTATACGATACGTGCATTGGCGTATTCCTTTATTTAAAGTCCCTTGTTCTAGGCACCCTGGTCGATGCGGTCACGTCATACTTTATACAATGTATACATAAATTAGTATGACGTAACCGTATTGACCGCGCTGCCTATGTTTCTACCCGACTGTTTAGGAGAGAAAGGTTCGATACGATTCTGCCTAATTTTTGTCCGTTGTTCAAGTTTTAAATACATTTTAAAAAGTTAAAAAGTTTAAAGAAACAATTGACGTACGTTTGAAATCTGTCTATTTTGTTTCAGAGATTGAAGGCTTCAGGCGTGAATGTGTTTCCTGCAGTTGACGCCGAAAAATATGTTAGCTTGAACATCAAGGTATACGACCTTTTGGGGCCAATCTCAATCTCGTGCTAGTGGTCAACTTTTGACACGTTTTCCAAATATTAGGAATCGACGCTTGAAAAGAATATTTATGAACAGATATCTCTGACTGCATCAGCTTTTGCATATTCCTGGAGTCGTTGGAATTCGGATTGTGGAAAAGAGAAGATCATAGTTCAGGCAACGGAACAGGAGGCCGATGAACCACCGTTGGAGGTGAGTGCAAAGAGTTTGTTATTTCTAGACCCATTGTTGATATATGCCACACTCTTCATGAGTACGAGAGAGAATCTCGCACCCTAAACCATGCTCATTTTATTCAGAGCCTGCTTCATAACAATTTGTATCGTTCATAAAGATACAGTAATAGATTTATTTAACGGCAGGTAAAGTGTTGCAGCTAGTATACGTGGTTAAGACGATTTTCTTCTATCTTTAGGAGGATTGGTTTATCTACATGGCGAGTAATGAAAATTCATGTAAATTGAAATTGAGTGAATTTGATGAGACGTTTTCTGATGACGTCGCTGAAAATACAAAGGTACAAAATATAAATTTTGTGAAAAATTTAAAGAATTACATGGGATTATCATCCTTAACCAATAAAATGAGGAATTTGTTGGAGGGAAATTTAAATTAGCTTGTAGGTACACCACTTAAGTTTTTAATACTGCAAAGCTTTCGGTTCGTTAACCCGGGCTTTCATCAGTGCAATATGAAGGCCCGGGTTAACGAACCGAAAGCTTCGCAGTATTAATAAAATACTTACGTGGTGTATCTTACTTATTGATGTCACCATTAGAAATTTACTACTTTAAAGGAAAATGTGAACTTCTCGGGTAGTGTCGCAGCTCCTCTCAAGAATGATTTTCATTGGCTGAACTTTACAATACATTTCTGTTTCAACCAATAGCATAGCTTCGTTCTTTAGAAAGCATAGAAAAGCATTATCCAATTGGACGAAAGCTTCCGAGCACTGCAACATGTCCCAACTTCTCTACTTCTCTCTTGTTCCCCTTAATGGCTTTTGCTCGACTGAAATGTGAACTTGTTTAGGAGATAGGTATCTTAAAAACCTGAGAACTTATAGCAATTTTGCTGTTATTCACAATGAACGATAATGGTTATTTGTTGTGAAGTTCATGAATAATTAACGAGGTTTATACCCAACCAAATTTCGTGAATTAGGTCACATGCACACCCTGTATACCCCATATACAAATTAGTTTAAATAGATATGCTAATCAGTTACAAACACTATACAGGGTGAGTAAAAAAAAACTGACACCTTTGAAATTCAAATAAGCCGCGAACTTATAACTGGAATTTGATGATTCCCATTGTGTACAATCAACAAGACGTGGTTAATTAATGCGAAAGTGTTTAAACCAATTGAAGTAATTCCACGTTCTTTTTTATTACAGAGCTTAGAATGCATTTTAACTCCCAAAGGGAACAAACTTTACGTTCTACTTAATTAATAGTTCACTTATTTGATATGCTTCGTATACCCATAAGATATTTTAGGCAACTTCCGTCTCATTACAGCCGATTACAGACACATTGCAGCTAATTTGAATTTCAAAGGTGTCAGTTTTTTTTGACTCACCCTGTAGTAGTTGTATTAGAAAAATACAAATGAATTTGCATATCTATTCAAATCTTATTTATTACAAATTCCTTTCACAACTTGTTTGTTGCATATTCAATACAACACGGCTGCGAGTGTTGTAAACATTGCGAATCAAAAACTCTCCTACAGCTATGTATATAGTCTACTGTGATCTGTAATGCAATGTTTTACAAACTTCTGTTCATTTGTTCCGATTCTATCTATATAGCTCCATGCTGATCTTTATCATATGGTTATGGATGGTGCCTCGCAGTCCGCAGTTAGTAAAGTGAAAGGAACATCATTTCAGTTCTTCAACTGCGTATCACAACTACTTAATGCTACTAAAGTACTTACATACTCTTGACAATTTCACATAAATATGTTTAAAATTGTTGTAAAGTTTTATCTTCTCTGTAAATATTGTCCAAAGGCTTTGCCAACAAATTTGATAAAATAAAATAGTTAGATCAACATGCAGAATCTCATTTTACCACTGTGTAACATTTTCGTCAAGAGGCTAACCCGAGATATCCGGAAAGCTCAGGCATTTTCAGTTAGGATCCAAGGTTAATTCATATTCTAAAATATCAATGCTTGTGATGATTGGGCAATTCTGCTTGCATTGATTTTATAACCTTTCATCCGCTACACTACGCAATGGAAGGCAACATTGTCCAAGTCTGCGTAGTTTTCGAAAGAACAGAGCAGTTATATGCATATAGTTATATAAATTTGTTAAGTTGCTTGTAGAAAGACGATGTTTTCCACATTAAAGTTTGTTTGGTTTTGACGTCTGCCTGGAGAAAGTGCATGGTATTAACCTTCATGCAGGGGCCGCCGTAACCTTTTTATTTTGGTGTATTTAACAACTATAAACACAATCATTGATTATACAACTTTCTTGATCTGAATAATGGGTTAATCTTCTTCTCTTCATGCAGACAGCCTGGGAGAAACAAACAACTAAAATGTTCTTTTCCAATCACGTATGTTACTCGACATGCAACAACCTTAGTCCCCTCGCTTTAAACTCACCAACATTTTGTGAAATTCAACACAAATTTCCTGAAAAGCAGCGTTTATTCTTCTGGTATCATGTATATGTACATATCGTAAAAACGCTTTTGAACTGTATACAAATGATGCATGACTATAGTTTGAAACGATATATTTTCAATTAAAAAATTATAAACTTTTTATTCGATTATTTTTACCAAATTAATTATTTTTATCAATAAACGTTTTGATATAGATTTAGACAAATATGTTAGCGATAACAAATTTATTAAAGAACGACGTTTCGAAGTCATCTTGACCTCATTTTCAAGTTCAAATGATTGCAGAAAACGGTTGACTTAATTATAAATAGCGTTTACATATTGCGCAAGCAAACTAATTTGTCATTATGTCAGTTAAACGTTCTTAGGCCTCTAATTATATATAATTAGTATAATTTTAACATGCAAATTGTCTGATAAACAACAAACAAACAAACAACAAAGCAACATTACAACAAACAAGTATGCTAACAGAAATTGTTAGTTAAATAGTTTCGAGCATATCGAGTCCGATTGTTTGTTCAAACTAGGCTTAAGCTCTTTGATAAATAGCATTTCATAGAGTAGGCATTCAAATTTCCCCCGACATTTTCTCAACACTTTGAAGCTTTTCTCGATGTTCTTTGTGTCCTCGCCGTGCTGTTCTGTCATATGTTCTCCGATAACTGACGACTTGTGTTCATCAATGCGTTGGTGTAAGTGTCGGCAAGTGTAACCGACATAATCTGCGTCGCACAGATCACATTTAAAATGATAAACAACGCATTGCTGATTCACAAGAGGCGGCTTTGTTTCTGATGCCTTCTCTATACCACCGGTTTGTTGATGACTCAATCACATCGCAAAGCAGCACTGCCTCCGCAGAAGCATTCCTTTCCACCCTCAACAGTCTGCATCCATCCCTTCAATTCACCATGGAACTAGAGGTCGATGGTATATTACCTTACTTGGGCACGACACTTATAAATAAGAACGGTCGGTTTGAAACGAAAGTCTATATCAAGCCAACGAACACCGGCCTTATGCTCCACTATGATAGTCATGTAGACGTGAAGTATAAGAAATCGCTCGTCCTGACCATGCTCAATCGTGCCTTCCGTTTATCATCGTCATGGAAGTTCTTCACCGAAGAATGTGAACGCATAAAGAAAACCTTCACTCGTCTGCGGTATCCTATATCCTTGCTTGAAAACATCATAACGAAGTTCATTGCCCAGCAACGCGAGAGCGACGATCGTCTCGCCGAGGAAAGAATCACCAAACCAGATGTTGTGCGCGTTATACTGCCATTTAAAGACCAGAAATCGGCAGACTCGGTGAGACGGCAACTTCGTAATCTCGGCAAGACCATCGGTAAACAAATACAGCCAGTCTACACAAGCAGGAAGATCGCCGCAGATTTTCCAGCCGCAGAAACAAAGCCGCCTCTTGTGAATCAGCAATGCGTTGTTTATCATTTTAAATGTGATCTGTGCGACGCAGATTATGTCGGTTACACTTGCCGACACTTACACCAACGCATTGATGAACACAAGTCGTCAGTTATCGGAGAACATATGACAGAACAGCACGGCGAGGACACAAAGAACATCGAGAAAAGCTTCAAAGTGTTGAGAAAATGTCGGGGGAAATTTGAATGCCTACTCTATGAAATGCTATTTATCAAAGAGCTTAAGCCTAGTTTGAACAAACAATCGGACTCGATATGCTCGAAACTATTTAACTAACAATTTCTGTTAGCATACTTGTTTGTTGTAATGTTGCTTTGTTGTTTGTTTGTTTGTTGTTTATCAGACAATTTGCATGTTAAAATTATACTAATTATATATAATTAGAGGCCTAAGAACGTTTAACTGACATAATGACAAATTAGTTTGCTTGCGCAATATGTAAACGCTATTTATAATTAAGTCAACCGTTTTCTGCAATCATTTGAACTTGAAAATGAGGTCAAGATGACTTCGAAACGTCGTTCTTTAATAAATTTGTTATCGCTAACATATTTGTCTAAATTAATTATTAACCAACATAACATACAATAATTATTTAAATGTTTTTAACGAGATCTTACGAATACATTTTAGAAGAATTAAACAATTGCAGTATTCGTCCAACGTCTATACATGGGCCAACATAGTTTGAAGAGATTTTCTGACATTCGATAACTCTTGCTGTTGCTAAAATGAGAGCGGTAATAATTATTGATTGCAATATTACACGCATTTATTAAAATTGTATCCAATGAAAAATACTCACAGTTTCCTTCATAATTTTTTTTTGCAACTGTGACATGTCCTTCTTCAACTCCCCTTGCACGTTGCTTTGTTGTTCACAATGACAATTTTCCAAGTCTTCAAAACTCTTCATAAGTGTATTAGTTATTTGAATGAGCGTTTTGATGCGCTGAGTTTGAATTATTCGGTGTTGGTGCACGCCATTCAATATTTCCTGGAACCCTTTCTAGAAAATTTGGATGAATATTGTACGATTCATAAATTTTGTAATATCGTCACAAATGTTTGGATTCTGGTTCATTGACTCACCTGATAGGGACAGGGCTGGGGGTTGTTTGGCATTTAGACGCGGTCAGACAAACTTTAAGCCACCTGGGGCCGGTTGTTCGAAAGGTGGATAAGTCGCTATCCAACGGATAAGTCGCTATCCAACGGATACGTTTTATCCAGCGTGTGATTTGCGTTGCACGAAGCTTGGATAACTTTATCCAGCGGACAAAAATCGCTATCTACCGGATAAATTTATCCAAGGTCTGGAGGTGGTTTAAATCCACTAGCAAAGATACAAGGTAACACTGTAAACATTTATATAAAATAGGACAAAATGCCATATTCCTGTTACTGTGTTTCAACAAACTAATACACATCATGATTGTATTCACTATTAGAATTGTTTTCGAAGTGCAATTTGTCGCAGCAGCGTTTCACGTTGCCTACACATTCCGTTCCGAGCGGCGATTTTTTGGAGATCCTCGCATTTATAACAGGCGGTAAATTTACTATACGCTTCTAATCAGTTTATAAACGCGAATATGCAAAGAAAGATTCAACCTATTCCAAGGAAACTTGCTAATGTCTAAGCAATTTCATTCACAAACATTAGTGTTCCTAAATTTGCTATGGAACCGAATAGCAAAGCGCTACAAGGTCATGGAATAAAATTGCAATGTGTTTAATTAATAAAACCCGACTATGATGTGAAGTGCAATGTTCGAGCAAATCACTTGTTCAAGTCTTTTCCATTCATATGAATTCAATGTTGTAAATGCTTAGCAACAGCTGACGTTGTGGTACGAAATTTCAGGATAATCCTGTTTTCTTCCGGTAAATTTTAACTTATCTATTGGATAGTTATCCACTTCACTATCCACGCTTCGTGCAACGCGTTTTTATCCAATGGATAACTATCCACTGGATAGCAGATTTATCCGTTGGATAGGAATTATCCGTTGGATAAGTTATCCATCTTTCGAACAACCGGCCCCTGGAATTTACTAGCTTTCGCGTGTATCGACAAAAACATTCATGGAGTTAATAGACCTTTTCGGTAAAATTTTACGTCACAGCATTATCGTTTTAAATTTAGAACCACCTTAAATGAGATGGATTTCAAGTTTTACTCTCACAAACTATGTGCAAAGATGCAAAACATCCTTATACAACCCGTGCATGAAAAAGAATTTTTCATTTTGACTAATAAGTATGGAAATAAGCTATAACGCGGAAACGAGGCTCGTCTTAGCACCTCAGCCTCATTCTCGTGTTATGGGTTATTTCCACATTTATTGGTCAAAACAAAAAAAATTCATTCATGTGTAGAAGAAGGATGCTTTGCATCTTTGCACGTGGCTCGTGAGATAAAACTTGAAATCCATTTCATTTTTGGTGGTTCCAAATTTAAAAGTTATGATGTTAAAATGCTGTGACGTAATTACCGAAAAGGTCTATTACAAAAAATCACTAGTCTGTACTAGCAAAAGACAATGCCTTTCTCGTAGGAGCATGTTAAAAAATTCAGAAACAAATCATTCAAAATTAATTGCCTAATTTAGCTTTGCAGGAAAGTAGTTTTGAAAAATATTGCGTACATTATTAGCAATTTACAACACGGATCCGATCATATTTGCGGGAAGTGGTGAACGATGACATCTGTCACTTAACACCCTGGAGACACTATAAAAGTCCCATAAAGTTTGCGATAAGAATTCTCCAATGCCATGGCTAAAAGTCGTGCGCTGAAGGTGTTAAAAACGTAAAATAGCTGAGACGACTGCTTCCTGTATATACTGTGTTAATAACGTTGGCCTAATACACTATAGTTTTATGCATGCCGGAAGTTTATATAATCACGCTGGCCACATGAAATATGCATGTGGTTGTTGGCGATGTAAGATATTC